AGGCGGGCACGACGTGGCGTGGCCGAGACGCGGGGCCGCCGAGTCCGCGGGGACTGGAGCGCAGCCGGCCTCCGACCCGACCGCGCGCGGGTCGCCCGCACGCCCATACTCCGGGTTCTGAGAAAAGCCGGCATCGACGTCTGAAAAGGAAAAAGTGGCATAGTAGGCCGTTCTCAAAAATTGAAGCAGGCTAACAGGCTAACCATATAATTAGGAAAACTGGGGCTTTGAAAAATGAGAAAATGAGTTGAAGAGGGGAAGAAGCTCTTTTTTCCAAATTGTAGGAGTTTCTTTTTCGAAACCTTTTAAGCACATTGTCCCGTAAGGTCAGACAACGGTGTTAAGTTGAACAGCACGGGCTTCGATCCTGCTCTGAAACCGAGCAGACACAAGATTTGTAAAGCCTGCTAAAGATGGAGACAGCGTGGTACGTGCGGAAGCTTCCGTGTTAGACAACAAATCCTACTTTTACGGTCTCGAGCCCCGACACACTTAACGCGGAACGCAGTTTCCGCGGGTGCGGTTTTTCCTCCGGGCGCTAGGGCCGGGGCCGGCCTTCTCTGCTGCGCAGGCTCAGTGCACTTACCCGGCATGGAAGAGGCGGCTCTCTTGTGTGTGACAGTCGCGGTCCTGATGTGGGCCTTTCTTTGGGTTTGGGACTCCTCGGAACGAAAAAGAACTCGGGAGCAGGCTGGTCTGCCGGGAGCTGGAAGCCGGACCCTCCTGGTGATTGCACACCCAGACGACGAGGCTATGTTCTTTGCTCCCACCGTGATAGGCTTGGGCCGCCTACAGCACCAGCTGTCCCTGCTCTGCTTCTCTGCAGGTAGGTGGCCTTTGCTGGCCCTGGGAACGGGGACTGTGCAGGGATTTGTGTGTTAACCGATCTCAGTCGACTTCTTCCCAAAGCGTTGTCTCTTGTAGGGAGCTAAGTGAATGCACACTGGCGGTCCTTTCACTGGATTTCTCACAAACTGAGGATAAGTCGGTCAGCTTCCCATGTGGGTTGGGGAACACTTGCAGCGTGCGTACTCCGCTATCACTAGGATTGTGAGGCAGAAAAGTAGTTGCTTGCCGCGGGTTTCATATTATACCTGCATTTCCGTTGGGAACTGTGACTGTATGTGTTGCTAGAACCTTTTCACAGAAAGGTCAAGAATAATGATCTTACTGTATGTACTGCACCAAACAGAACCTTTGCATATCGCACCTGCCCACTACTCATAGTAACGAAGAACCTTACTGCTACGTTAAAATCTAGTTGGTGCTGCAAAGATGCAAGCGCCGAACTAGAGAAGTTGATTCAAGTGGTTAGAAAGTAATTGTATAGATGAGTAGTTTATCTCCACCCATCTTTCATTGAAGGAGCCTTTGAAACAGTAGCTTTGTGGTATGCTACAGAGAAGATTAAATGAGAAAAAATGACCACAGCCCTTAATTACGGTGATAATTCACTATATAAATGAAACAATTGAACTATGCACATAGAATGGGTGAATTTTATAGTGTGTTAAGCTGTACCTCAATAAAGCTGTTATTTTAAAATTGCCCATGACCTCTTTTCCCATTTGCTTGTGTGTAGTTCCAGTTCTTTTCCTACAAAGGTTTTTCACAGAAATCACATTTTATAAAATTACTTTTTTCCCCTTCTTTTTCTCCTTTCCCTCATCCCAGTTGTTCCTTGTTTAGTGAAACTATGTATCATTTCTAATGTTTTTGTTGTTTTTATTTTTTATTCTCTTTAATGGTTTGATCAATCTTGCATTGTTACATCTAGTAATCTGAGCAACTTCATTGAAGTTAACAATATGTAATATAGCAACCACTGTTAATTCCTATCATTTTGTTCTGAAACCCTGTATGATTCTTATTATTTTTGCTTTGTTTTGTTTTTGTCTATGTTGTTGGTATTTTGCTATTGTTCTTTTTAAAAATTTTTATTATTCTCTTTAAAAGAAAAAAATTACTTTTTTCACTTGATATTACTTTTTATTTACTTAACATATATTTATTAAACATTTGCCTAGGCCTTATTCTATGCCTGTTTCATTAGGACTGGTTTCTAAATTGGCCATTTTAAGGCTTTCAATGCACATCACACTCCCAAAAACACTATATCAATTTATATTCTAACAGGTAGTAATGAGAGTATCTTGATATATTATCCTCTCTAGCATTACCTAGTATTTTTTAAATAAGTTTCTGGATTTGTGTAAATTTGTTAATGACAAGATTAACCATCCTTCGTATTTACTGAGAATTTAGATCTAAGCAGTTTGCTCTGTGTTTTGTTAAGGATACTATTTGCAAATAGTTGGAAGTTAAAATACATTTTTTTCTTTGCTTTTAATTTTATTTATGTTTTGTACTAACTACAACTATACAAATCAAATTATAAGCAAGTTTACTTCAAGATTCACAAGAGAAATCTATATTTTATCTGCAAAATACTATAGATGCAGTGTATTTTTTTAATAAATTTCTTCATATTTTCAATATGCATATACAAATTTAGGACCAGGACTCAAAATTTTATTCGCGGTGGTAGGGATTGAACCCAGGGTCTCACATATCCTAGGCAAGAGCTGTACCCCTAAACTATTTCTCAAATTGTTTCTAATAAAAAATATGTGCATGAGGCTGGGGTTGTGGCTCAGTGGTACAGCATTTGCCCAGCATATGCAAGGCCCTGGGTTTGATCCCCAGTACCACATCCCTGACACTAAAATTATTTTTAAAATTCTCAACTCAGTTAAAAATGTGTAGATTAAATATTCCCCATAGATGTTGAATTAACATCTGACGTCAAAAACCGGAACCTCAGGCTGGGGATATAGCTCAGCGGCACAAGCACCTGCCTGGCAAGTGCAAGTTCTTGAGTTCGATTCCCAGCACCAAAACAAAACAAAAAAATCATCAAAAACAGGAACCTAGGGACTGGGCCAGACATGGTGGCCATGCCTATAATCCCAGAACTTGGGAGGCTGAGGCAGGAGGACTCTTGTGAATTCGAGGTCAACTTGAGCTACAAAGTAAGTTCAAGTCTAGCCTGCACTTCATAGTGCAACCCTGTCTCAAAAAGACAAAAAAGAAAAAAGAAAAAAGGAACCTAGGCACTAGGATGTATTGGCAAGCCTAGTTAATAGGATATCATTAAATAGCTTTGGTTAAATAACGTAACCAGTTCTGTCTCAAAATTTAAAAAAAAAAACCAATTCAATTCATCACTTTCCTTCTAGATGCATTGGCAGCTCATGTATCAGATTTCCGTGTATTTCTTGTCTGTATGATGCTACAATCAGTCTGAAATCCATGTCTTAGTTACTTTAGCTTTTTTAGCGCTATTATCTCCTGTGACCAGACTTGTCATTGTTGTTCAAGGTATATTTGCTCTTTTTGATCTTTTCTTCTAAATACACTTGCACATTTTAGCATTAGCTTGGTCATGTTCAAGGAAAAACTTTGCTTGATATTTTTATTGAAATTTCACTGACTACGATAGAAGCTTACTATGTAGTCCAGCTGGCCTTTAACTCACTATGTAGCACAGATTGTCCTTGAACTCTCAGCAGTCCTCCTGCCTCATCCTCCCAAATGCTGGGATTACAAGGGTGGGCCACCCAGCCAGTCTTCTTCACTGACTATTAATGTAAGGAAACAGAACATTTACCATATAAAATCTTTTAACCTAATCATTTTATTCTGTCTCTTTTATATTGGCCTTCTTTCATGCCTGTTAATAGTTTTGTGTTTTGGTTTTGGTTCTGGTTTTGGTTCTGGTTCTGGTTCTAGTTTGGTTGAGTTTGATTTTGGTGCTGGGGATATAACTCAGGGCATGTGATCAGTACTTCCAACCTCCATATTTTTCCTATGAGAGACAGAGTCTTGCTGTGTTGTCCAGAGTGGCTTCAAACTTGTGATCCTCCTGCCTCTGCCTCCAGAGTAGCTGGAACTACTACAGGTTTGTACCACCAGCCCAGCTGTCAATAGTTTTATATTTAAAGTCTTACATAAACATTGAGATAGTGTTATATAAATTTTGTCCTTTAGTCTGTTATTCATGCCTACAGGTTCCTGTTTGTCGCAAATATAGTTTACTTTCTTCTCTGTTTTTGTTTTTTTTTTTCTTTGAGACAAGGTCTTGCTATGCAGTTTAGGCTGGCCTTGAACTCACAGTGATCCAAGTGCTGAGATTATAGGCATGCCTGTATAGTTTATCTTCGTATACTTTGATATCTTCTTTTATTTGAATATATTAAACAGATCTAATAAATTCAATTTCTGTAGTCTATCCTATTCTGCTCTTTGTTCTGATTACTCATTCTGAATTACTTCTTTCCACATGTATTTTATAATTTTTTTTCATATAAGCATATATGTCTTTTTTTTCTTTTTTGTTACACAGGAACTGAACTCAGGACCTTACACTTGCCAGGCAGGCACTTGTGCCACTGAGCTATATCCCCGGCCCAAAGCACGTATTTTTTGGGACCATATTCATTGTAACAGTTAAATGATTTACTTTTGTTTTAGGTAGGCAGCTGAAAAAGATATTATTTACTTTAGATGACCCTAAAATTTTAAGATCAAGATTTTTCAGGCAGCAGAGGTAATATAAATTCAGGGTCCAAACCCAAGTGTATTAGTTATCTAATGCTACGTAGTAAATTATACAAACACAATAATACTTCCTCTCTTATGGTTTCAGACAGAACAGTATTTCTGCCTCATGATGTTTAATAATTTAGCAGTTGAACCCAAAGACTGTGAACTAGAACCACTTCAAGATTCATTCACTTACATGTCTGGCTGGGGACTTTGCTAAATATGTCAACCAGAACCATTATGTGGTACACTCAAGTGGCTGTGTGGCTTGGGCTTCCTCACAACGTGGTGGCTGAGTTCTGGGGCAGGTATGAGAGAAAATTGCTACTAGTGGTAGCCGTACTGTCTTTCATGACCTATCCTGAGAAATCATACAGTGTCACTTCTACTATATTCTCCCTCTAGAGGCGTTCACAGGTCACATCCTTGTCCCAAGAAAGAAAAAGTTCCACCTACTAAATGGGAGCATCAAGGATCTGGAAGCACATGTGGGACAAGAACTACTACAGTAGCTATTTGGGGAATATATTGTCTATTTCACCAAGTAAAACTGAGCAGTTAAGAATTACTAGAGGTGGGGGCTGGGGATTTAGCTCAGCGGCAAAAGCGCCTGCCTGGC